GTTTGGTGATTCTTCCCCTGCCCTGCCTGTAAAACAGGAGGAGGTCCCTAGCTCAGTGTTAAGGCATGGCCATGAGCATGTGCTTCACTTGTTTATTCCGTGTCTGTGTACACGTTAGGTAAGAAAAGGTATATGGATGTTGCGGATTTTTAGGGTTATTTTTGGAAGCAAAATGTGCTAATGCGTAGGTAAAACGATTTTATCGCTAAAAGCTCAGTTCATAGCGAGATGAGCGGTCTGTCTTCGTGCTCAGAGAGTACCTCTCGGGAGGCGTTCCTCCTTTTGGTTGTTGTCTTTGAGGGTTTGGTTGGTTTTTTTTGTCCTTAGAGGAGACATTAGTTACAAGTCCAAAACCTTTGGAGTAACATTCTCAGTTTTGACCGACTGCTGGGTGAAAGAACGACCACCAGATCCTCCCATGCCACTGTCTGTCTCTTTATGCTTGTCTTCCTCTCCCCATAGTGTTGGCGTTAAAAAGGTCAGTCGAGAATCATCTGGTTTTCCTTTCCCTTGAGGCAGTGGCTTTGAATAGTGTTATCCCTTTTTTCTTCCCACACAGCCCTCTTTCCCACCTTCTTTCCTTCCCACCAGCTTTGATGCAAAATCGCCTTCAAAATGTACTGCGGGTGATCACGCACATCTCTCGGAGTGAGCACCATGTGCTCAGCGAGTAAAATCTGCTCCTCTGTGTAGAAGCCTAGTAGGAGAGCTGTGCACCAGAAACGGCTTGGAGCACTGCGTAGTGATTCTTAGGTATTACAGTCTCAGGGGTAAACGGTAAACTTTGTATATTCAAATGCAGTATCCCTCTTTGAAGTTCTGTTCTCGTCTAAATTTGTATACTAGAAGGGCTGGCCTTCATTTAAATGATCCTTAGGTTTTTTTCTGCCACTTAGGAAAAAAAACAAACCGGTGGGAAAGCCTTCAATAAGCTAATAGCTCGGTAAGATGGAAATGTTGGAGAAGGCTCAGGATTCTTGTTTGGGCCTCACAGGACAAAGTGATTTGAAATGCGTGGGGTGGGGGGGGATGCACATTCCTAAAACTGTCATTTCTTTCCCCTGTTTCTCCTCCCCTGCCCTGTGTTCTCCTGCCCTGCCCCTACGCACTACGGCGTGTTTAACGAAGCCAATCAAAGTATTTGGCTGAGAGTGTTAATCTTTCCCTGGCCCAATTAGTGCATGGCTTCTACTTTAACAGTAATGTGGATTTTTTTCGGAAGGCAGAACAATGAGCAGCTTTGTACTAAACACCAGGTTTCCCCCCTCCTTGCGTGTATTGTGTGTTTCTTCCTATCTGTTCCAAAGGGAGAGCTCATGTGCAGAGACGGTGGGGCACGCTGGAGCAGAGGCTTGAACCGGCTCCCCAGGGCCAGGATGTGCCGCCCTGTGCTTGTGTGGCTGCCTCTCAACAGCAAGTCAAGTGACCCTGACTCCGAAGGCTCATCATTTCTTCTCCTTTCTTCTTCCTTCCCCTGTGGCCCGTGTTCTCTTTTTTGCTTCATCCGCGATGCTCTCCACCAGAAGGAGAAGCAGCTGTAACTCTTGAGAGTGGTCTTAAAGCACAAAAATTAAATAAAAAATAAATCCACATAAGCCAGGGGGGAAGTAACTGTTGATGGGCTCAGCTTGAACATACAGCGGAGTCACACTTTATCCCAGAGGAGGAAATAGGTCTAGCAAGTGTCTTCCTGTACAGACTGCATGGGAAGCAACAAGGCTTTTTTTTTTTTTTTTTAGCTCTCTGCTTTCACGGTGAGTCTCCCATTAGCTGGCTGGGTGAGGTGTCAGGGGCAGGCCGCTGTCAGAAGTAGGAACCAAAAGGCCCCTGTTTCATGGGTTTCAGCAACATCATCGAGTGGAGGGGGCGTGTTCCTGCCGAGGAGCCAGGTCTGTCGGTGTGGCCGTGCAGAGCGGGCTGCCGTGTCGTGTCGTTTGGTCCCCCCCGAGACGTGTTGGTGCTCTCGCTCCGTCGCTTGCTCTTGCTTTTCCTCCTTTTCACAGAGAGAGACTGACTCTGGGGGCGTTCTTCAAAGCAGAAGATGACTTGAATGCTTGTGACCACTTCCCTGTTTCCTAGAGGCTTCAGTCCCATGTTGAATGCAACCTGAGGCTGCTCTGTTTGCCAGCCTGTTTCCTGTTTGTCCTCTTTCCTGGAGGTCTTTGTTTTCTTTTGGGGAGAGGGAGGAGGAAGGCTCCATCAGCACGACCTCCACGCAGGGGCGTTTGGTGTGAGCGGAGAAGGCTTGCAGCCCCGAAGGAGGCCTGGCATAGGGCATCCATGCTGGTTGCTGCCTGTCAGCTTCCCACAGTTTCATAGGTGCTGTGGAAAAAAAAAAACACTTCCCCATCCTCAGTGATGCATTTATTTGAAGAGGAAAAAAAAGCTGGAAGAGAAATCTCTCGGTATGTTCCTGCCTAAAGGCGCTCTGCCGCGGGTTTTCCCACAGGAAGGAGTGATTTGGCCCAGTATTCTTATTGTTTCTATATCCTATTGCAAATAGAAAGTTATGCTTCTGAAATCGGTGTGTGCTGCTCGTGCAGTTGTCTTAGATTCAGTGGTGCATTATGTGCGTCGTGCGAGAGTGGGAGATAAAGGCATAAATAAAAGCGTGCAACAATAATACCTGTTTTTACAGAAATTACGTTGTGAATTTTCAGCTGCTTCCAAAATAGGAAATTTTTAATACACGGAAGATGGTTTCAAAAACAAGATCAGTGACTCTACATCTTTCTTTGTGTTAGCAGGAAGGTATTTAAATTCAGGAATAAAGTAGCTGTTGGTTCACAGAAATTGTGAAAGACTGTAGTAGCGTAATACGTAGTTTTCCTCCTGAAAGTAGAACAGAGAGCAAGCTGGCAGGTGTTTCAAAACCAGGAGGTAGGCTTGTTAATGTGCCTCTTGTGATGAACATTTCACCCTTGCTAAAAGCAGCACTAGGAATCCTGACTCTTGTTCTCTGGGAAGCTCCTCAGCATTCCTGAAGTTACCTTGGCCAACACAGGAGTCGTCACAGTTACACAATAAATTGGCTTTTTCCAGGATGAATCAGCAGTGACATTAATGTCCCAGGTATTGGCTGAAAGAGGAATGCTTTGGAAAGGTCTGCTTTGGAAGGGAGAGTTGTTTTGTTTGGTTGGGGTTTTCTGAAGGACTAAAGCATTGTTTTAACAGAAACCCATCCCAGTCATTTAAACTGGTCTTTATTTTTGGTGATACTAAGCAGATACAGCAAGCAACTTAGAAGATTTAGGCCAGTCTGGAAAATAACTCTTTTGTGCTTATTCCATTCAGAATTGTTAGCTACCACATAAGCAGTTAAAAACAGATCGAGAGAGGAAAAAAAAAAGACTGTTGCTCTTGAATGAGATGGACCTTCTTTAAAAATAAAACAACATCAAAGTTATAACAGTGAAGGACAAGTAAGATAAAGAGAAACAAATAAGCAGCTCCCATACCTCCTGCAGAAAATACAGAAGGATGGGTGCTTGGCCTCACCTTGAATTGAGAAATCCCTGTGTTGCAGGGATTTGTCACTGGTGTTTTCTTAGCAGAAAAGTACAAAAATGACTAGGGAAGACTTACCTTGACTTGTTCAGGATAGCTTATAAAAAAGTCTTTTTGTCTGTTTTTGAAGATGCAAATTGAAAACAGAGATTATGAGGAAGCTGATGTCACCCAGAGCCTTAGACACGGGGCTGAGTCGGGTGCTAGGTTTAGTCTCAAGGCTGTGCTGGCTTGCTCTGTCAGATCATCTGCGTGACGCTCCTAAGAGGGTCGGCGGTTAAACGTAGGAAGCTCGAATCTGCTGCTTTGTCTGGCATTGCGTGAAATGAGGAACTGCTTGACACAGGCTGGGCCCTTTCTCTTTGTCTGCCTTTTCTTCTGCGCTCCAAAATGTCAGTAGTTGGGATAACGTCGTCATTTATTGTTTGCAAGTGCTGTTCAGGCAGCGTTTGAAGATGTGTTACGTGACCAGTTTGCATGTCATCCTTGAGAATATGTTTTTTTTTGAAAGGAGGAAACCCTGTTGAGTTAACTGGGGTTTGAGGCCGGTGGTCTCTGCCTTCTGAAAAATGGAAAACCTGTATTAAGTTTGCTGCATGCAAGTTGGAAATCTGAGATGATGAAATGGCCACAGCATGTTCGTTTCCATAATGAAACAACTATTCTGCATGTAAGCTTGTAAAGGTGTATTTCTCCATTAAAAATGTATCAGTAGTTTTCCACATTACAAACAACCTTTTCCAGAGGCTGTTGCAGCAGACGCCCCGGGCAGAGGACTCCTCTCTTTCTCATGCGTCGCTCATTCACCGTCACCTCCGAAAATGATGTTTAGTTGCCCTGTGGTTCTCCAGCCAGAACAGGCATCCCTCCTGAAACCCCGACGATAGCGTGATAGGTTTGTGGTTTCAGAAAGGGGGTGTGGAGAAAGTCTGTCAGCGCACATGATGGTTGCCTATGTCTTCAGCTTCTCTGGAAACCTGGGGCAGTGGGTGTGAGGAATGTGCCAAGTGGTCCCAGAAACCTCAGTAGTCGTTTCACCGCTGGTAAAAAGGAAGAGAAAGGTCACCATGAATTTGTGTGCTGGAGTAAATGTTAATCCTCCAAGAAGAGAAGGGGGAAGGAGTGTGTGCATGGGATTGAATTACTTAAATTTTCTAGCTACACAATACTCTTACAACTTCTTAATCAGTGTCACGACTGTCAGTGATGTGCTAGCTTGCTCTCTTCTGCTTTTCCCTCCTCCTTTTTTTTGCTGGCTGAATACTGGGGACCAAGCCTGTCGGGCTTTCCTTTCTTCCTCTGCCCAGGCTTCGCCACTGGCAGAGGCAGCAGCATCTCCAGCGCCTGGCCACACGTGGGAGCGAGCGCTTGGCTGTGCTGGCGCTGTTTACGTGCCGCTGTCATCAGAGCCTAAACTAAAGGACTGTAGTCTTATTTTGCTGAAATGGCTCCCAGAAAAACTTACTCCCTTTCTCTTTTTCCGTTCTCCCTCACGTAGTGCTCGAGGGTGCTGCTGAAGAAGAGGCTGAAGAGCCAGACGCTACTATATGTTCTACACTAAGCGAGGAGACCAGCAACCACGGAGAGAGCCACGGTCAATCAGGGGATAAAAATGAAGGTAACTGGTTTGACTAGCTCTGTGTGACTGTAAATTAGGGCATGGATTAAGGCTTGCAGAAACATTCCTTACCCATCATACCCCTTATCTGTGTGAAGAGTATAGGAAGCACTGGTGCTTACGTTTCTTTCCGCATCCCTAACCTTGATCTGACTGAAAAGTATAAAATAGGTTGAGCAGAAACACGGGCACATAAATACTCAGCTACCACTGCCGGCTTCCAAACTAAGATTTTCTTGGCTCCTAGTGACTTGGCACCACATTACTTAGCTTCAGAAAACCACCTGTTTGTAATACTCAAACTTATCTTCCAGAGACAGTATTATGCAGAGATCAAATGTTCACAGGCAAACGTGTTCCTCCTTGTTCACCTTCACATCCTCTGGTGTTGCAGTGACTTTCTCACAACACACATTAAGATTCTGTGCTCTCCACCAGAAGTGGATCCTGTGGGAGACTTCTTTGGGGAGAAGGGAGTGGTTCGTTTGAAAGCAGTTTCCTTTTCAAACTCGTAAAGAGGAAAGTGGAAGGCCTTACCTGTGTGTTTGACATCGCATGTTGAGAAACTAGAAATGAGATTTTAGGTGTGTCTTGAATTTGGTACCTGAGATAGGAGCATCCATGCTACATACAGAATGTGATGGAGAAGTCTGAATCTGAACAGCCTTAGCTGTGACATTAGTCGTGGATGTAACACTTAGGCTCCATGGAATAATATGGATTGGTAGACCAAAAAGGGAAAAAAAAACTACATAGATGCCAGCTGTGGCAGTAAAGAGGCATCTGGGGGGATTTAGGGTTTTGTTTTGGTTGGACTTCTGCTAATTTAGCTTATTCCGTATACAGAGCTGTCTTAAGCTAGGCTAGAAAGAGAACCCAGTGTTCTATACTGTGTTACTAATGCCTTAATCGTGCAGTTCTGCTCAAAACACGTGCTTGCTCAAATGATTGTGCTTGCCAGAGCGTACATTCATCAGTACTGCTCTACTAGTTCATGGCGATCACAGGGTGCCGCGAGTAATACCGTTTGACAGCAAGAGAGTTTAAGGTAAATCACTCTGTAAGCCCCATACCCAATTGAGGTTGAAAATGAAGGTAACGGGACTGTCCTGTGAGAAGAAACCTACACTTGGTCCTATGACTTCCAATATGAGAAACGTTTCCTGTTGCGAGAACTCCAGTTTTCATGGGTTGTTGCCTGTGCTCCACGATGACCCAGCAGAGCATGGTGCAGGTTACAGGCAGCTGAAAATACGGTGGTATTTTATGGGGTTTTTTTACATGGCCATGCAACTCATAGAATCACAGAATGGTTTGGGTTGGAAGGGACCTTAAAGCCCATCTAGTTCCAACCCCCCTGCCATGGGCAGGGACACCTTCCACTGGGTCAGGCTGCTCAAAGCCTCATCCAGCCTGGCCTTGAAGACATCCAGGGATGGGGCATCCACAGCTTCTCTGGGCAACCTGTGCCAGTGCCTCACCACCCTCTCTGGGAAGAACTTCTTCCTGATATCCAATCTAACCCTTCGCACTTTCAATTTAAACCCGTTACCCCTTTGTCCTGTCACTACAGGCCCTTGTAAAAAGCCCCCCCCAGCTTCCTTGTAGCCCCTTCAGGTACTGGAAGGGGCATAAGGTCTCCCCGGAGCCTTCTCTTCTCCAGGCTGAACAAGCCCAATTCTCACAGCTCCTATGTGTGTTTGTGTTTTTAATTCCAGAGAAGCAGCTGGAAAGCTTAAACAGCTACAAGGTATCACCAAGTTCACCAAACAGTTTGGAGGAAGCAGACTTGTCCTCCATTGACGCCATGATGTCAGCAGTGATGAATGTGGGGAAGATTGCTGAAAATGGCGGGAACTCTCAAACTGTCAAATCCCCCTCAAAGTCTCCTGCACCGAATCGGATTGGCAGGAGGAACCAGGTATGTAAACCCATATGCAGGGAGGGGGAAGGAGAGACAAGCAGCTGCTTGAAAGTGGAAGACCTAATGATGTTTGTTTGATTGGTTTGCCTTTTTTTCCCCTCAGTGGGTATTTCTTGCCTCTGCCGTTGCTCCTCTGTGTGTGTTTTCTGGTGGCTCCCCAGAACGTAACTTCAGAATCGAAGGGCTCCGCTTGGGTCCGCATGTACAACATTTGAGCGCAGGCGCCGATGTCGCGCAGCGGTGAGCTGGTCGAGCAGATGCCTCTGGGTGTAGCAAAGCCACCTAAGAATTCCTGCTTCTTCCCTGCTGCATCCTTTCTCCAGGCGCTTGCGTTCACTTGATCTGTTGGGGGACCAGTTCATGTCATGAAACGAGGAGAAAGGAAATAGCTCGGAGGGGCGCTGAGTGGCGTGGCCGAGGGCTTGGCTCGGCCGTCGCGTGTGGCCCGTCATGAGGTGGGCAGCTGTCCCTAGGGGAAGATCCAAGCGATTTCAAGTTAAAGGTGGTGCTAGAAGGAAACATCCCATCAGGACGCTCAGTTCACGTGTGTGAAGCATAAGGTGCTCTCACTTCGTTGTTAATAGAACAGCGAAGAGCTACTGCAGGGTGCCTTCTACAGATCTTGCGGAGCAAACGTAGGCAGCTTCTGTCAGTTTCTTTCCGCTTACCAGTTGATGGCACCAGCCGATAGCCATATTGATCTGAACAGGTGAAAGGAGAGTGTCGTATCAGTTAAAGCTGTGGGTATTTTTATGTGCGTTTTTCTCCCGCTGGGCCAGGCCCTACCAATGAAGGTGCTGCAGAACACCAAGAAATACCCCAAAATCCCTGTGTCCACTTTGCTTCAGAGCTTGCGGTGAAGCATGGAGAATTTGTAAATGAATTGGGATCTAACAGGGACCAGAGAGGTTGAGAGGCATGACTCATGTGATGTTCCTATAGTAGTTTATTAATAGCTTGCCGAGTAGCTGCCCGGTTGACAGACTTACGACTTGTCTTGTTTTTTTTCTTGGAAGGAGTTAAAAACCATTAACTGCAAATGAACATTCTTAAATGAAGAGTCTGGGCAGGCAACTGTGTGTGTGGGACTGTATTGTCTAGCGCCTGGCTTTAAGGTTTATTTGCAGTGTTCCCGGTGTGGGGCAGCCCCTGTTCCTTGATTTCATCATGTGAAGTGAAGCACTGGAGTTCAGGCTAGTCTCTGTGGCAGTGCTATTACACAGCTGTCCGACGGCACACCATGTGGTTTGGCTTCGGGGAAGTTTATTAGCGTTGGTGACCTTTATTCCACCTGATATTTCGATGGGCATCGAATCAAAGGAAGCTCGAGAGTAAATGTGACAGGATTAAGAGGGATTCTTACAGCATAAAAATAAACAAATACATTGAAAACATAGTAAATAACCAATTTGGTTTTAGGCTGAAAGATCGTTACCGCCAGAGGGGCAAATGGCTACATTACTGAGGAAATAGAAGTGAGAGGTGAAGTATTAAGTGGGTATCAATCTGGTTAGCAACCTCTAAGGCAATGAATATCCACTTGCGGCATAGCAGAATGAAAGCACTGAATGGCTTCAGTGTGTAGCAGCTCACAGATCTCAGATTCTGGTCAGAATGTGCCCCTTATTATTATAGTTTCAGGGATAATAACAGTTAGCTAGTTTTCTGGGTCTGACTGCTGTTTCCCATGAGTTGGCAGTGAAACCTTTTGCCCTGAACCTTTGTCCCGAGGTCTATGGTTCTCTTCATAATGCTGACTTTATCTTGGCTCTAGTCTGCCCATAGTCTAGTAAGCGTGTTCTCACATCAACCTGCATCCACTTCAACTTCTCATTTGCTTTGCTCTGCAAGAAAATAGAAAGCGTGTCTCTGAGCTGGAGAAAAACGAGTAGACCTAATGCACAACTCCAAAAGCATTTGCCATCAGTTGAACGCAGCGCAGTTGTGCCTGGTTGACTTTCTGAAGGGAGAGTAGCTAACAAATTAGGTGATAATTTTATCTTTCAGTTCAGGAAGTTTGTTTTCACCAGCCTGGCTCCAGTGGGGTAGCTGAGTGCTACGTCTCAAATTTGTGAGTGGGAGTGCTTTTCCAGTAGGGATGCTAATGTGTTTTTGGTCTGGATTGGGTCAGTCAGCAGCATTCCTGTTGTAGCTACCCCTGGATTTGCTTGAGCTGTGTTACGGTATGCAGAATGTACCCTGTGTGACAACTGGAGAAAGTTTGAGCTTTAGTTAATAATAAACCCCAGGTTCAATACTAATCAGCTCTGGCTGAGCTGAAGTGTGTTTCTGATCTTTGCTTCAAGGTGAACCAGTAATTACTCTATCTTCTGTTAATTTGCTGATTCGAAGGGCAGGTAGTCTGGAAAGCAGGCTTTGAAAAAAATCAAGTGCATCATGTACAGCTGCAGCGCTTGTTCCAAGGGGGGGTGCAAAAAAAAAAAGGCAGCAGTAGGTTGATAATTTCACAGAAATACCCTGCGGATTAAACACCATCTAAACTGTCAGCACAGCTGCAGGGATTTTCCTCACGGCCCAGTGTGTTTGTTCTCTGTCCTGAGCCAACTTTAACAGGGTTGCAGTATAATTGGAGCTGAACATTACTCCACAGGCAGGTTGCACATAGTAAAATTAAAGTTGTATAAGTAAGGTGGAATGAGTCCGTGCGAATTACATGTTTGTATGTAAAAATGGGAAGGGGGCACTGGGATAATGCATTTTCATTTTCTTGGGATGTTCAGACTTCGTCACGGCAGCCATTCTTGCTTGCTCTCTGATCTTTTGCGGGTGATTGTATGCTAGGCCTTGGCCTGTGTGCGTGGCCTGCAGTGATCACCTGTAGGATGGAGGGCCCTGAAATGCAGTTAGAAAAAGACATATGAGAGAAACAGTGGGGAGGAGCGGGAGAACTTCATTGTTGCAGTCCCAGCCCTTTTGGAAGTGAAGTCACAGGTTTTGTTTACTTCAGGCAAAATGGCAAAATAGCTCTTCATCCACATCCACAGGTCACTGAAGTTAATAGAAAACTATTGCGGCCTTATTTTTGCAAACACAGTATTAGATCTAAATAGAATGGTTCCCCAAATCATGCAGGAAGGGGTATTGCTTTATTGAGACTTAAAAACCCCGTTCTCTAACACTGTCTCAGCATCTTCCCTCCTGACGTGCCAGAGAATTCATCACAGAGACGTGGGTTAGTCATTCTCGGTGTTGTGCGCACACACTTGTGCCTGACAGTCTGGAAATGGTTCTGAGCTGATGACTTTTGGGGTGGCGATGCGGGGAGAGAGTTGTGTGAAGAAAGGAAATGCACCCATACACTCATACCCATCAACTCCCTCCCAGCTAAAGAGCTACCCGCGTGGGTTTTCTTTTTTGCTTGTTTTCATGGTTTTACTAATGGTACTTAAAATAGCCAGCAAAGAGGTTCGGTAGAACATGTCCTTTTGGCATAAATATACTTTCCCACGGGTGATGCAGAGATGGTTTTTGTACTCTCTTGTCACCAGAAGTGTAGGGGAGAGGCAGTGGATATATCTAGCTGGTCAAGATTTGCATCATTCCACAGAAACCTGAGGTTTGATTTTCCGTGCCAGACCATCTTCCTTTTAACGCACTTGGTGCAGAAGCCGCGCCTGGACCTCTTAGGGAGGCGGTGAAAATACCCTTCATGTCGTGTAGTAGCCGTCCTTGGCGGTCAGCTCAGGCGAACGCCCTTGGTCCCGGCAGGAGTGCCATTTCATCCCTGGCCGAAAGAGTGGCGGCTTTTCTGGGAGTCTCCAGGGCATACTTAAAGCAGGTTGGGCCCTCCGGTCGGCTTCACTGTTTGTACTCGTGGTTTGACCACGGTTACTCCTGCTTCTCACCTGGGTGGAGAATAACCGGGTTCATAATGTGTTCTTTTTGAGTCACGTACACTCCTGCATTGTCACCTCTTTCTCGCTATGATCTCATCAGATCTTGCAGGCTTCAGAAGGGTTGGGCCTGGCCCGTGTGCCTGGATGGGATGCTTCCAGGAGAAACACAGGATGCTGAGGGAAATGATGCTGGTGATTCAGTAAATGGCGCTCTTCCTTCTGAGTCAGCCACGGAGCAGAACATACGGCCCCTAGAAACGGACACCGAGCTAGTGCCTTGCATCAGGATGGGGTGGAAAACCTGAAGTCCCGAGGGCTTCTGCTTATTGAAGATCTTTTGGGAAGATTAGTGGTGTTTGCCCACATATTCTGGAGGTGTTCCAGGAATTGCTTTCTGCTCACCTAAATTCCTCCTGGCAGCCGGAGCCGGTCACAATAATTGCCTTCACTTCCTGCCCTGGGCTGCTACTGCTGAGTATCCGTGTGCTGCTAAAACAGCTGTGGTACTTCTGCAGTAGTTGAAGTGGGCCCTATTTATAAATTCAGAAGTTTCTGAAACTTCCCTGAGGGATCTGTCAGGGTGATAAATGTATAGGTGCAGGTTCTTCTGTCGGCAGTGCCCTGCCTTTGGATGGATTATATTTTTTACTTCCCCAGCAGTAACAGCTTTTGAGTTCTTTTATTTCGATATCCCTTCTGATTTTTTTGTTTTGTTTTGTTCACAGGAAACAAAAGAAGAGAAGTCTTCCTATACCTGTCCTCTGTGTGAAAAGATTTGCACTACACAGCACCAGCTAACTATGCACATTCGTCAGGTACGCAGAGTACTGGCTCTAGGTTTCCTCGTAGGAGTGTCTGGTTTGCCAGCGCGCATTTTGCGGTGGTGAGAGACAGTCCCATGTGCAAACCCGATAGGCTTCCATTATAATTTTATTCAATTGTTTTGCTTTTATTTTAGCCTTCCCCTTGCGTTTTCTTTAAAAATAACCCAACCCTGAGGTGGGTAATTTTCCTCCCTTCCTTCCCCAACGCTCCCCCCACAGTGGCTCAGACAAGGATGTATGTCCTGTTCGGCGTAGCTTAATGTATCCCAAAGATCCAGGAAACCACTTCCATCATGAGGCATAAGTCCTGGTTTGTTATCCTGTTTGAGTACAGATCTCTGTACTGGTCATGCAAATTAAGAAGCAGGAAGACACAGTGTTTAAATCATCTCAGTGTAGAAGAGCCTCTCAGTCCTTTACAGGATATAGCAATTTTGGGAGGCAGAATTAAAAATACACTTGTTTTTTTTTAACGGATGGTGCAGTTTGTGTCAGCTACAGGCCTCTTCTTGCTCCTCTTGAAATACATGCATACGCTGTAAGGAGGTTTGTGCTTTTCTATGTCAGAAGGTTCTGCTTTGGATGCTTAAGGAAACAGCTACTTGCGCTGGTGCATTAAGGAGTTAAAAATGAAGGGTGGGGGTGGAGTTGAGGGGGGAGGGCTGGGGAGGAGACCTATATACAGGATACACCTTAATGTAAGATACTATGCCAAGTGGCTCTTCAAAGCTGCTTTTGAGATGTTTATAGTTCTCACTTATATTTTACTGGCACTTCAGAAGGGGCACTCAATGAAAAAAACATCATTGCTTTCTCTAGCATAACACTGACACTGGAGGAACAGACCATTCCTGCAGCATCTGTGGAAAGTCTCTGAGCTCAGCGAGCTCCCTTGATCGCCACATGCTGGTGCACTCAGGTGAAAGGCCTTATAAATGTTCAGTATGTGGACAGTCCTTCACCACCAATGGAAACATGCACAGGTGAGTGCTGACCATGACCCAGGAGTTTGGAAGGGATTACAGGACAGGGGGCTGTTTTGTTTCCTGGGAGAGACTTTTCAGGCTGACTAAAGACACAGTGCTTGGACAGAAAATGTGGGTTATGTGTGATCCGCGAGTGTGGCATGGCACGTGTGCATACACACACACACTACAACTACTAGGATGCTTAAGTTGCAGGAAGAAGTCGACATCAAGAAAGGTCTTTAGCTCTCTTTACATATTATCAGGAGTTGTTATGGATATCCAGGAGTATTGCTCTTTTGGTATTATTATTACTACTACTACTACTATTTTGACAAATGGGATGGATTTTTCCCCAAGGATGTAGCCAGGCTGTAGAGGAACGTCTGATTTGTAGCTTCAGAGTCATGGATGCAAATTGATGAATTGGAGGATCTGTGGTGGTGTTGTGTGTTACGTAGTTTGGTATCCAAGTGCCATCGTGAATATGCCTCTTTGAAATAATTGATCTTCCTTTTAAACACAAACATAATTTCTTGCTTGTACCGTAGACAACTTGCTGACTGGGAAAATTCTCTGTAACCCCAGTTACCGAATGTATTTCATGTAGTTTCCTTTGTAGGGATGTAGCACTATGTACAGTTATCAACTGGGGAAACAAAATGTTAAATCACATGCATGTTCCTTTCCCTCTCTCATCCCCCGATTCACCATTCATTTATTTGCATGGGTGGAGCACCTTGGAGCTGATAAGACTTTGTGAATTCCCACGTAGCTTTAGTCCCCATATCAAAGAGCTTACAGCCTACAAAAAAACTGCAAGACAGGTGGGGGAAAGGAATATAGCTTAGAAGCAAAATGACATGGGTGATGGTTACAGGCTGGTTCTGTGTGGGAGGGAATAGATCTTGTTTCCTTGATCATTACCCGTCATTTTGCAAGCAGTGTGCTAGAGGTGGAACAAAAGGGGTGATTTCGGTCACAAGAGGGAAGAAAACATAATGCTGCACAAAGGAAGCAGTAGCTGCAATGCTTGCAGCATTACCTTTTCTGTATCATATTGCTCAGGTTAAACAGTCAGTGAAAACAGAGGAGAAACAGGAGGGAATGCAGTTTTGTAATTCCATATTTATTTAAGTTATAGCTCATTGGAACTGGGGAGAGCGTGAGAGAGGGACGTAGAATGAGAAGGAAAGGACACAAAGACGTTCAGAGGATATGCTGGCGTTGGGCACTGAATAAATCACACGCCTGACTCATCTGACCAGAGGTGTTGGGAGCTCCATGTTTGCCAGACCGGGTCATTACTCTCTGCCGTGAGGAAGGCAGGGCAGCTGCAGAGTGGCAGCTGATGACTCTGCCAGCTTCCAAGGGTGAATTCCAGTGCTGGGACTCTGGGGTGGTCAGGTACTTGTGTACAGGTCCTCAGCCCAGGCCGCTCGCTGGAGGACTGCTTGCAGGGTTCGTTTGGCTTTTTGCTCACAAGGCACCTTCTCGTCCTCTCCCAGAAGCAGGAAAGGGAGGCTTCCCCTGAGACCTGACTCCAGGCCTGTCAGATGCTGATGTAGTCACCTTCGCTTGTGCAGGTTTCCCTGTATAGCAGCTCTGACTGTGCTTTAGCAGCAAGTTTGCCAGAATTGCCAGGCTCAGTGACTTGCCCAAAATAAGTAAGTACAGATCAGAACCTTCTGATGAGAAGGTGGCTTGGTTTTAAATTTTTCTTTTGAGATGTTGCTTGAAGTTAACGGGATGGAATTCTGTATTTACGGACTTGACTAAGAAGGACCCAAGGAAAATCTTCCTATTAAAAGTCCTTTCCAGCTGGTAGATTCCTGTCTGTTCTGTAACACTCCTTCTTGTGCAGGCCTGCACCACAGCAGGTCGGCGGGACATCACAGAAACCTGTTGGTGAGCTTGGTGGCACTGCAGCAAGTGACCCTTGGCCGATGACAGGCCAGAGTTCCTGAGCACACTGAAGCAGGCTAGTTTTGCTAATGGGGGGTGGTGGTTGCCACGACTGTGCCGTTAGTTGTTTTTTTTTTCAGCAAATAAACTTTCCTTGTTGCTGTAACAGACTATAATAGTGAACCCTGTTGCTGAAGTGGAAAGCATGAACGTGCAAGTAAGCAGATGAGGAGAAATGTAAAGTGAAATGAAATTTATATCTGGTGCTATGACACACTCACAAGGATGGTGTTCCTTTTGCCCACCGGGTACCTCCTTCTGCAACCGGTATTTCTAGTCTAAGATGGTGTGAAGAAAATTTTTTCGTAGGCATCTCAAACTTCACTGTAGCATCAGCTCCGATGGCCTGCTGGTGCTGTGGATGAATGCCTCTCACATCACATTTAAAACTGCTGCTGCCCCAGGATCCCACAGCAAGGACCTGCTTGCCAGGTCCTGCCTCGTGTGCAACTCCCGCAGGCCTTGCTTGTGGGGGAGCCGTGTCTGTTCTTCTGCCCCAGCTGGATAATACACATCTCCTTTTCTCTGCTTTTGTGCACAGTTCCTTTATTGCTCACTGGTTTTGTGCTGTGGCATCTGACTAGTGACAGATACACACCCAAACCAGCAAAGAATAGGATTTCTAACCTGTCCCTGGTAGCCAGCATCGTGGTATCCCTGGAGCATTGCCCAGAGTGTGGGGTCAGAGATGTAGCAGAAGGCTGGGAATGTGCTGCTAAAGAATCAGCATAGCTTGTGAGGGTCCTGCAGGAGCCTCCCAAGTATCGCTGCGTTTACACCAGATATGCTCAGTGTGTGGAAGAGGAGCAGGGGAGAAGTTAGTCTGCCAGCATCTGAACGGGGAAAAAAATCCAGTGGCATGGTTTTGTCAAGGGAAATACTGTGCCACAGGAGCGCTTATGGCTGTTCCGTCCCAGGGTGAAATTTCTGATCCATTTTTCCACCCCATAGCAGCCAGGTTGTTAGACATTCAGCTGAGTGGAGGATGGAAAGAGAACAAGTTTTGGTTGCTTTTTGGGGTTAGAAAATGTCAGTGTTGTTACGCTATCAGGTGCCCGTCATCTCCATCAAAAGTAGTTTTTCTCCACCCTCACTTGATTGAGGGAGAAAAAACCCTCCACAGCTCTCATTTGTTGCTCTTTTTGCATGACAGCAAAACTTTTTTTGCAATAGCCAGACTTTTTGTGGAGCGAGAGTGCCATTTTCTGCCCATCTCCTGAGCTAGTCTGGCTGTGCTGGGGTGTTGCATGCGCTCTTCACCTGTGAAGCCGATGCTGCCCTTCCTGACTCCCACAATACGTGCAACACTTCATGTGTAAATGAGTCATAGCCTCTCACATGAAGTCCCATTTCTTTGTGTTGTGGTCCTTGGCTCCTTGTCAACGCGTCGGGCTGAATGGGCACGGCGGACGGATTGGAGGGGGAAGGTTCTCTTGTGCGGTACCATTCAGAAAAAGAGGTTAAAACCTGCGTCCTCCTCTGACCAGGGTGACTCTTAGCCAGGATTTTCAACAGGGAACCGCGAGCCTGGGACATCTCCTCTCTTAGAGCCGCCAGACCGCTCAGGAGTGGCCTGAATCTCCTGTGGGGACAGTCGCAGTGGGAGAGAAGTGTGCTGTGAACGCTCAGTGTCCAGAGCAAAAAGCTGATTTTCTCATTCTTCCAAATGTGCTGTCAAGCTGACTGCCTCCGTATCAGTGCTGCTTCTGCTGTTTGGGGAGGGTAGCCACAATCTGCTACGATAACTGGGAGATCCATCAGGGTCTGGTGTCAGGAACAGGAACTGGTGTGGAGGAAGAGAGCAGGAGATGATGCTGAGTTTTTTACAGAGATTTCTTTTTGACCAGTACTAGAAATAGCGAGCCTTCTAGCATCAGGGGCTGGTTTGGGGGGTTTGGGGTTGTTTTCTTGGGGCCTTGTAGGAGTTTGGGTGAAGGAGTTAGTTCACAGTAATTTTAAGTTCAAAGTGCCTGTAACTGGAATGGCACTGCAATGATCAGTACGTAAGAAAATCGCTAGTTTAGGATATGCTAATCTTCACACTTCTACATGAGGGACACAGACACTATGGCCTTCTCTTGGTCACAGTAAATTAAAGTTGAATGTTCTCAGATCTCCAGCAGGAGCATGAACTATATGGAATAGAAGGAGGGTGTGTGTGTATGTGTGTGTATAAAGAGTTTTCTGTAGCTCTGAAAGAAGCGGGGATTTCCAGAGTAGTGTCTGAAATCAATAGATTGAAATTACTAAAGGCTTTCATAGAATCATAGAATCACAGAACGGTTTGCGTTGGAAGGGAGCTTAAAGACTATCTAGTTCCAACCCCCCTGCCATGGGCAGGGACACCTTCCACTAGACCAGGTTGCTCAAAGCCTCATCCAGCCTGGCCTTGAAGACATCCAGGGATGGGGCATCCACAGCTTCTCTGGGCAACCTGTTCCAGTGCCTCACCACCCTCTCTGGGAAGACCTTCTTCCTGATATCTAATCTAAATTTTCCCTCTTTCAACTTAAACCCATTACCCCTTGTCCTGTCACTACAGACCCTTGTAAAAAGTCCCCCCCAGCCTCCTTGTAGCCCTTTCAGGTACTGGAAGGCGCTATAAGGTCTCCTCGAAGCCTTCTCTTCTCCAGGCTGAACAAGACCAACTCTCTCAGCCTTTCCAAAGGCTTTCCATCTGTACTGTCACAGTAGCTCCCTATTGAGTTTATCACTGTGTAGTGACAACTCTGAGGAGCCCTTTTGGGTTTTGCAAGCCTCTTATTCTGTGTGCACTGCTGCGTCTCCCCAGAATGCAGGCGGAGGAGTTAGGCTGCTGCTGTGGGCTTTAGTGATGGTTTGTTGTAAGCTTTAGCAAGAGATCTTGAGGTAGGGAGAAGACTTTGCTTGACTTACTGTGCTGCATTCCAGGAGAACGTGCATCAGGCTTCAGCGGGAAGGGCGATGCCTCCACTTGCTCCAAAAGGGTTTCCTTTGGGGGTAGGGGACTTTGACAACAGCTCCTTTTCCATTTCTGTGGCTGAGGATGGTCTGTGCCTATCACTTTAAAATCA